GCCCATGGATGTCCTGCTGCTCCCCCCAACCCAGACCAATCAGGGTCTAGTGATGGAAAAGCCCACAGTGCTTAGTCAACCACCTGGGTTGAATCTAAGTGCTATCCACTGGAGGGCAGGGAGCGAGAAACTTCACACTCCCTCCACTCCTAGGTCAATTAGGACCTGAGGCAGCACACGAAGTCTCCTCCCACCCTGCAAAGGGCTTGGCACTTAAGAGTCAACCACCAGCTGCTGCTAAGCAGGTGGGTGACTAAGCATGGTGCTCCCTTGCAGAGCGGGGGGCAGACTTCATATCCTCCCCGGCCCCCAGTCCCTGATTGACCTGGGGGCAGAGAAGGAGTACATAAAGTCTCCTCCCACCACAAGGGATGTGGACCCCTAGAGAGAACCGCCAGCTGTTTAGAAAAGCTGTCCAGGGAGAGGGAAGTGACACTTCACATGCTCCCCCCCACTCAGACCTATCAGGGTCTGTGGGTGGGGAAGCACAGAAGTGTCCTGGCCTGCACCTGAGGCCCGGAGCTACTTGAACAATTTCTGAAGTGGCCTTCAGTCAAAAAATATTGCTCACCCGATATAATCAAACACCACAGGTATTCAGGGGCAAGAATAGAAAGGCAAAGGCACAAAATGAGCTAAATCTAGCTATGGACATAAAGGGTAACAAGAGGACATTCTATAAATATATCAGAAGCAAGAGGAAGACCAAAGACAGGGTAGGACCACTGCCAATGAAGAGGGAGAAAAAAATAACAGGAAGCCTGGAAATGGTAGAGGTCCTTAATTTCAGTTTTCACCAAAAAGTTTGATGGTGAGAGGATGCCTAACATAGTGAATGCTAGGCGAAATGGGGTAAGTTTAAAAAGTAAAATTAAAAAGTTAAAAATTACTTTAAAAAGTTAGATGTCTTCAAATCACCAGGGCCTGACAAAAATGCATCCTAGAATATTCAAGGAGCGGACAGAGGAGGTATCTGAGCCTTTAGCTATCATCTTTGAAAAGTCATGGAAGTCAGGAGAGATTGCAGAAGACTGAAAAAGGAAAAATATAGTTTCCATCTAAAAAAAGGAAAATAGAAACAGACCAGTCAGTTTAACTTTTGTGCCAGGAAAGACAATGGAGCAAGTAATTAAAGAATTCATCCTCAAGCATCTGGAAGACAATAAGGTAATAAGTAACAGCCAGGATGGATCTGTAAAGAACAAATCATGTCAAACCAATCTGATTGCTTTCTTTGATAGAATAACAAGTCTCGTAGATAAGGGAGAAGCAGTAGACATAGTACAACTAGATTTCAGTAAGGAATTTGACACCATCTTGCATGACATCATCATAACTAGGGAAATACAACCTAGATGGGACTACTTATAAGGTGGGTGCACAACTGGCTAGATAACTGTTCTCAGAGTAGTTATTAATGGTTCACAATCATGCTGGAAGGGCAAAACAAGCGGGATTCCGCAGGGGTCTGTTTTGGGACCGGTTCTGTTCAATATCGTCATCAACAATTTAGATATTGGCATAGAAAGTTCACTTACTAAATTTGCAGATGATACCAAGCTGGAAGGGGTTGCTATTGCTTTGGAAGATAGGGTCATAATTCAAAATGATCCAGACAAACTGGAGAAATGATCTGAGGCAAATAGGATGAATTTTAATAAGGACAAATGCAAAGTACTTCCTAAGTGGAGGAACAATCAGTTTCTCACACACAGAATGGGAAGTGATTATCTAGGAAGGCATACTGCATAAAGGGATTTAAGGGTTATAGTGGACCACAAGTTAAACATGGGTCAGCAATGTGACACTTTAAAAAAAAAAGCAAACATGATTCTGGGATGCATGAACAGGAGTGTTATGAGCAAAACACGAGAAGTAATACTTCCACTCTACTGTGCACTGATTAGGCCTCAATTGGAGTAGTGTGTCCAGTTCTGGGCACCACATTTCAAGGAAGATGTGGAGAAGTTGGAGAAGGTCCAGAGAAGAGCAACAAAAATGATTAAAGGCCTAGAAAACATGAGCTATGAGCAAAGACTAAAAGAACTGTTTAGTTTAGAAAAGAAAAGACTGAGAGGGGACATGATAGCAGTTTTCAAATATCTAAAAGGGTGTTACAAGGAGGGAGAAAAATTATTCTCCTTGGCCTCTGATAGGACGAGAAGCAATTGGCTTAAATTGCAGCAAGGGAGGATTAGACTAGACATAAGAAAAATCATCCTAACAGTCAGGGTGGTTAAACAGTGGAATAAATTGCCAAGGGAGGTTGTGAAATCTCCATCACTGGAAATATTTAAGAGCAAGTTGAATAGACTAGATAGGGATGACCTAGAACAGGCCTTGTAAAAATGCAGCCCGCCAAGCCACTGGATCCAACCCACAGACATTGCAGGGAGCCCCAGGCTTACCTCACCCCACCTGCACGCCACTCAAATGCAGCTGCAGGGCAGTTTTTCTTTAACAACTGTGAGTCCAGAGGTTGGGGGGAGGGGGGGAGGTTTAGGAGCTGCTCCTGTTGCCAGCCAGAAACCAGCCAATGGGAGCTGCCAGTTTCAATAAGAGGCAGCCACAAAGCACAAGGGGCTCCAGAGCACATGGCTACAGCATGTGCAGGGGCAGAGCAGGCAGTAGTGTTCCCTCTAAACTGCATGGCAGCACAGCTTTACAGGTGATTCATTAGCCCCACCGAATAAAAGGCTGAGGGCTTCATGCACAGAACTGACTAGTCACTTATGAAGCTGTGCTGCTACACATCTTGGAAGGAACACTAGCTGGTAGGGAGGGTGATGCAGGAACAGCTGCTGGCTGGCAAGTCTTCTAGCTAGAGCCTGTCTCTGGCCCCTCAGCCTCTCCCTTTCCCAACCCTCTGCCCCCACTCCTGTCCCCTACTCCAATCCTCTGCTCCTCTCCTGCACCCATATCCCCTCCCAGATCTGGCACCCCAATCTTCTGACCCAGATCACAGTCCCCTCCTGCCCTTGCTTACAACCCAAATCCCTTCATCACCTCCTGTACCCCAATTCCCTGTCCTAGGTCCACACCAACCCCCTGCACTCCAGTCCAGTGCCCCAGGTCACAACTGCCTCCTTCACCCAAACTTCCAACCTTTCCCCAAGCTCCCTTCTACACCCAACCTCCATCCCACATTTCCTCTATTTATATCACAGAAGAATTCAGCCCTCAACCACTTTCCAGATTCTTGGAATGGCCCCCATCAAAAAGGATTGTCACCCCTCATCTAGACAGTACTCGGACCTGCCATAAGGAAGCAATGACTTCCGAAGCCACTTCCAGTTCTAGTATTCTATGATTCCACTAAAGACAGAAGTTAGGCTTTGAACAGTAATTACCAGGCTCATTCTTCTTTACCTTTTCAAAAACTGAAAGAGCAATCAGTAGTACACCAGTTATCTGTTGCTAAACCATACACTAAATTTGCAAGTTATCCTGTTCTCTCCTCATTTCCTAATTTTCTAAATTCTCCCACAAACTTTTTTGTAGTTAGCGCAACTTGTCAGAAGCATGACATAAACCCCATGTCCATGACAAACTAAGGATGTTAAGGACTAGTCGCCTATCCGATAAGCATTTACTTAACAGATAGTTTGTCGACTTTCCCCCACCCCCTTTGCTGCCTCTATGAGATAGAGGCGGGGAGGGGGAAGAGGAAGGGGTACTTCAAAGTGGCAATACTGCACAGCTGAGCCGGGGGATCAGCTGTGCTGCACTGCCCCTTTAACTCACTGAAGCTGGAAGTCCCCTGCTGACCCCAGGCTCCACACAGCATTTCCCCAGAACCCGGACTCAGCTGGGGAGTCCCCTGCTGATCCATGGTTCTGCTGAAAGCTACAAAGAACCAGGGTCCTCTGGGGAGCCCCCCTGCTGACCAAGGCTTTGAAATGAACAAGGACCCTCATTGGGGACTCTTGTACATTTCAAAGCAAGCACACCTGTGTGCAGCCAGGAGTCCACTGGCCCCAGGCTGTACCTGGAGTTCCGCATTCCTCCTTTGAAACGTACAAGAGCTCCAGCAGGGTCAATTAACCACATTTTAACATTCCTGTGACAAACATAAAAGTTTCACTGACAAATGTACCCGGGTGGACAATTTTTAAAAATGCTGTGTTTTTCAGAGAACATGCAAAACATTACTATGCAAAAGTTAGAGTATCAGAGTACTTTATTAGCAATGTAACATCTAAATACAGAAGTCTCATGATAGTAAATGAGGACTGTTAATCATAAACTAATCCGTTCACTAACTTAAATACATGCTAGTATTTTTTCTGATGAAGAGGTATTAAAAATGGGAGCTATAAGAATAGATGGCTCAATAAACAGACCCTCTTATTATCACCCACTTCTATGTTAGTGGCTTGAATCGGATAGGTTGAAGCAATGATTTCCTCCCCACATAGTCTAATTGCTACTGACTTTAACTAGGTTCCTTTTGTCTGTTTCAGAAGAAAGGCAAAAATAAGCATAGAGACTGAAAGAACCTCTTATCCTTAAACATGTGATATTTCCTAAACATAGTTTAACAGCAGGTCAACACTGACAGTGGCATTTCTAGTGTACCTGTTCTATCAACAAGCAGGTAACTTAATGAAAGGTACTTCACTGACAATGCTCAGATTGAACAATACTTTAATTACCCAGCACAATAGTGAAAACTGCTTTTCACAATCTCTATTACAAGTATGCAAAATGCCTGCATCAAATGCTTTTCAGCAAGATGGTGGCTTTTTGTTTTGTTGCACAGAACAAATGTGCATATTGTGTAAAACGTTAAGCCTTTTTGTAATACAAAAGCTAGTAAGTCTATTCTAAACTTTCTATGTGAAAACAGATACACTGCAAACCCATTTTAAATAAGAGACAAAAAGGAGGTCTTCATTTCCCCTAATGCCAGTTGTGGTATGTATGGCCTGCTCTGTCTTAAGCACATGGAAATATTCTATCACTCATGTTCCCAGATAATACAAAACAAATATACTTACATCTTTTGCCATGTTACCAATGCTTAGAAATCAAGTCTCTTAAATGACTGACACCCACAGAAGGAAACAGGGACTGTGATATTTTCTACAAAGAAAGTCAAGACAACACTAGCTGTAACAGTGAACTGCAAAAGTCCATCATTTATTAACTGCATGCAGACATTCCTCTACTTTAGAGCATGGTCTCGTAATATTTAAAAAGTTTTCTGGCATCAACAACTTACTCTGGGAGAAAGGCCTCACAATCCCCCCAGAGAAAGGACCCTCCCTTCAGCTCGCACCCTAGCCCCAAGGCCTTCCTCATCCCAAACATACACGGAGGAGCCCAGCAGGCGGCCTGGACTGGCAGCCTAAGCCCACAGTGGGTCGGCCACAGTCCAGCTCTTCCCCTTCCCCGCAACACCATCCCACAGGTGCCGGACCTGTCAGCTTCCCCACAATACTAGGCCCCTGGGGCCAGTCCCCTGACAGCCCCGGCGGGCGCAGCCAGATGGGCCGCTGGTGCGTGGGGAGGCCGGGGCGCCTCAGAGGCTCTTCACAGATTGGCAGCCCGACCAGCCCCTCACCCGGGGCCCCACCAGCCCGCCCAAGCTAGCGAGTG